GAGGATGCAGGAGGATTGGGAAGAAGCATCTTACAAGCCCTGCCCTCCCCACCGGAGAGGCCGTGTGGATTTTTGGGAACAATTTGCCATTTCTGTGGTCCCTGATGATGGCTACAGCACGGGGGGAAGGTCAGGAGACCCATGTTCCTGGTGAAGATGTGCAGCTCGATGTGGAGGATGAGGAGCCTTTGGTTTGGGAGGATTTTCTGAAACCCAAAAGGAGAGAGATGCACTCTGCAGCCTTGGAGAAAGGTCCGCTTTCTTTTTTAATAATAAAGGGTGACATGCAAACTTTATTAACAAGGCACGTAGGGGAAAAAAAAGGCTCAAGGGATAACCCTGAAAAAGTGGCGCTAAATGTGTCATTTTTATGAAGCTGATTTTGTGAAGGGTCTCTACATGCTTTGGCAGGAGATTGCAGCAGGTTTACAATAATTTGTAGAAAGATAGAAATGTTTTCACCCTGAAGTGAGAAGAAGGGCAAAAAAACCTGCCCTGTGATGTTTTAGAGTCATCTGCTGAGGTGGAGGCTGGCGGAGGGACGGATACCTGTCACTTTGGGTTGGGAGACATGGGGCTGGCTTTGAACAGCCCAGGACTTTGCTGGGGGGCTGATGTGCAAACCAAGGAGCCAAACCCTCTGTCAAGAGCCTGGATCCAGACACAGCGGGAAAAGCTGGATTTTCACCTCCATGGAGTTCAGTATGAAAAAAACCAACCACTTGAAATAGCTGAAAAGTAGGAAGAGTCAGATCCTGGGTGTCTGCCCTGAGGCTAGCCAGGACATGGCTGTACTGATCCCAACCTCCTGGCACAGGCCAGGACACATCCCTCCCACCCTGGGGACCTACCCCAGCCAACATTCTCTGTTTCTCCATGAGTCCACAGTGGTGGTTATGCCCAGAGTCACTGCAGCCACTGGCACTTGCATCATTTCCTCTTAAACCACCTTCAGGTCCTCCAGGGTTGATTTCTGTTCCTAAGACAGAGAGTGAGCAGTTGTCAGAGCGGTGTCCTGTTGTTAATGGCACGTTTGCTAATGAGAAAGTGACCCCCCCACCCCCTCACTCTCTAGGTCAAGAAGAGTTGTGCTGACATTTGTACATCTGTTGTGGTTTTTTTTTAATTTAATGGAATTAGCAGTCCTTAACCAAACCAACCGCTGGGGAAACAACAACAACAAAAGTTTAATATTTCCCTGCTGATTGCTCCATTCCAAGTGTGTCTGTTGTTATATTAGTATTTATGTTGCTAAGGCAGCAGTTAAAAGCATTTTTCAAATTAGGCACTGGTAAGCTGCGTGCCAAGCCAGGACTGTCTCTTTGATGGCGCTAATACCAACAGTCCAGCATCTGGAAGGCAAATCTCCAGCCCAGAGAACAGCAGAGTTTCTCTCCTCCAAGAGAAATGCAGGCTGAGACTGCAGGCTTTATGCTGTTATTTGGTGCTTCCTGTTATCTTGTTTTTATTGTTTATTCCTAGCACAGAAGCTGAGGGTCTGATCCTGACAAGCGTGAGCATCCTTTATTCATGTTAGGGTGAGCAGAAGGCAAGAATTGGCAGGGAGGGCCTTTCCATACCCAGCTCTGGACATGGAAGGCAAAGGCTGGGCTCGAGGCTGGGCTCCCCTTTGATTTCTACAGGAGTGATGCTGATCAGTGAGACAGTAACGGGTTGTTTGCTTCTGCCAGAATAATGAAGGAGATGAGGGCTGGCCTCTCAGTGATGCTCTTTAAGAAGAGCACACTTTCATGGGCGCCAGCCAGCCTTACCTTTTCCCTCTTTTTTGTGCTTCAACTTTGGGCCTCATTAAGAGAAGGAGTGGATCCTTTCCCAATTAAAATGTTGACATGTCAGAGATGCTCCCCTTCCCCGTCGTTTTACCTGTTTGTGAGTGATTGCACTTTGCAGGATGAACTAGAATTAAATCAGGTGAACTTCGATTGAATAATGCAAGCTGTAAAGCAGCCCTCCATAAAAATCTCATTTCTTTTTTATTTTTCTTTTTTGATCCCCTATCATGCAAGGAGATAACCTTGACAGATAATCCCATGGCTGAGGAGAGGTCTCGTAAACTGCTGGTCTGCCTTATGCTATGGTGGGACTGTGCTGGGGCAGGCAGGGCTGGCAGCTCTCACTGAGGGTGCAAACCTGCAGGCCAGGGAAGCCCATTTCCTGTCCCTGTGACCATGTCACTCCTTATTTTGTCCAAAATCTGGAAATAATTACCATTAGTCGTGCTGCTTTGACTGGTGTGAGGGATCCAAAGCCTGGGAACGGATGCTGCCTGGGACTGAGCCTGCAGGGATGTGTGGACTTGGGGGTTGTGTCTTTATGAGTGACGTGGTGCAGAGCATCCTGAGAGGAACATGGGGACAGCATCCTGAGCAGGGAGACATGGGGACCAGGGAGTCTGCACCCTACTCCAGTCCATCAAACATAAATCATGGGCAATTTGCTTGTCAGTGGATGATTTCAGTTGGTCTCTTTTTTTTTTTTTTTTAAATCAGAAATCAGTAGCAAAGCTCCTGTTAGTGTTGGTCCAAGGGGGATTTAGCACGAGGTCTGTGTCTGGGTGGCAGCAGTAGATGAGATGGCAGGACCTGCAGTGTTTCCTCAGCCTGCAGTGGGGTTTTGGTGGTGCTGGGTCAGACATTCCCTGTGGATGGCCCTGGGTATCCCCCAGCCCCTGCAGCCTGGGCCATGTGGCTTCAGGGCTCTGAGCATTTCTAGCTCTGTCATGTACATGTGTATATTGAAATCTACTCTCTGTGTCCTCCCACCCAGTCCTCTCACAGTTTTCCTGTGGCTGGGATGTACACACAATGGGATGAAGCTAATGGAGGCAGTGTTTGGGGTAGGGGGTCTCACACTGTTGCTGGGCATGGTGGCAGGGCTGGGGACATGGGGCTGGAGCCAGCTGAGGCTCTGGGCTTTGCTGGAGCTGTTCCCACATCTGTCAGTGCAGGGTGATGGAGAGGGCTCCCCGCTGAGCAGGAATTGCTCCAAAACTGGCTCTGATCCCTCGTGCCCTCTGTTGCTTGACTTCCTTCAGAGCCTGTTTGTGGGGCTGGGATCTCCCGCAGGGCTGCTGGGGGGAGCAACGCCATGCGGTGGCATCCACCCCTCTGGGCTGGCAGCACTGGGATTGATGGGCAAACACAGGAGCAGGCGCTTTCTGCGGCATTTGAAGTCTTGGGCATTGCATGTTTTAAAATATATGTGTTAATTTGCTCCCGAGCTGTAACCATCAAAGTCGTCCTGCAGGACTGAGGATGCAGGAACTGCAGGGACCAGTAGTTTGTGCAGTAAATCTCCGGCGTGACTCTCCGGCAGTAATTACTATCTGAAAGTAATAACTGAGCTGTGCTGAGTGCTAGGCCAACTCCCCCGGCTCGCAGCTCCTTGCATGTTTCTCTCTGGGAGGCTCCTGTTTGGTAAATTAGATATTGTGCTGTATTTCAGAAAAGGTCACACTTAACCAACGCTGCCTTTGCTTTATTATCTTGGCAGAGCAGCGTAACCTCTGCCGGGGCACGATTGGATTTCACATTGGGCTCTGCTGCAGCAGCCCTGCTCCCTGCATCCTGCCGTTGTGATTACGTTAGCAGCAGACTCTGCTTTCCTTTATTTATTGAGACATTAAAGATGCATGCATTTATTTTTACCATGTTCATAATTGCTGTAAAAACAGGCCATAGTATCCCAGGGAGGCTCTTTGGGAAAGGAGAGCGGCCGTGAGGCAAAGGTGAGGAGCCACCGGCAGTGAGGATGCAGGACAGGGCTGTGGCTGTCCCTGTCCCTGCTCCTGTCCTAGGGTGACACTGCTGTCAGCCCAGAGGAATGGGGGCAGAGCAGAGTCTGCCACTTCTGCTGCTCAGACTGCCTGGTGGGGCCAAGGAGCATCCCCAGGTCAGGGGTGATGCTGGTGGGAGCCCAGGTGGGTTCCCTGCAGCTCTGAGGGGACTTGGGGTGGACAGACAGACTGTGGTACCTGACTTATGCAAAGAGAGCAGCATCCTACAGGGTACTCAAAGCCCAGGAAGGATCCCAGCCAGACCATGGAGATCCTAGCATGTCACATCTTATGGCTATCACTGTGACTCACCAGGCATCTCCCACCACATCCCACTATGCAGCTGCCTTCAGGTCCCAGCATGCAGCTCATCACATCCTACCATGCAACAGCCACTGCACCCCACCACACAGCTCCTGCCATGTACCACCTTCCATCTCCCACCATGTCCCACCTCACAGCTCCCACCGTAGCTGGGTGGTATGCTGCTCTTCCCCACCTCTGGTTGCTTTTTCTGGTTCTTTACTTTCTACGAGCATCATAAATCTGAGGCTTTGTAATCTGAGGTTAAAAGAGAGTGTTTTAAATGCAGAGACTTAGTGGGTTTTGCTTGCAGATGATAAATCCATTGACTTTCCCCTCTGTTTTCACTTCCCTTCAACTTTTAAGCATTTCACCCATTGTTTGCTTTTTTATTAATAACAGAGTCCACTGTCTCTGTAAATGAAATTATGTAAAACAAAGAAAAGTGCTCACATTAAATTCTCTGGCAGGGGATTACCTTGCTGGCATTTACATATCTGTGCAATAAATATTTTAACATGTTAATTATACACTAATAAGAAAAATACCTTTTGAACTTTCAGTCAAATTGACACACACAGAATGGAGTCCGTCAGGGAATTAAAAGCAATTAGTTTTGTAACAGAGCATAGTCACATTGTTTCTTCTCTGCAAATTGTTCTGTGGTCACCAGCCAGCCTTTCTTTTTTTTTTTTTCTTCTGAAAGCTGGCGGGAAAACCAGCAGGGACTGGAGTTTTCCATGTCTAGCTCCATCCCACTCGCTGGGGTCTGTCCCATGCCAGGACGCTCCATCCCTCCGCTGGGGTTTGTTGGTGGCTTTTGTCCCGGACCTGCAAACCTGGCTGTTCCTTGTTGTGGAGCAATCAGACTTGTAACCACCTTTTCTTTTCCTCCTTCCAGACTGAAAACTACTCCTTCGATTCCAACTACGTGAACAGCAGAGCTCATTTAATAAAAAGGTACGTAGGCTCGCTTGAAAGCACTTGGCTTTGCCCAGCCAAATCCTGATTATTTAATGTTCTTCCTTACTGTGTTACATACTACTTGCCTTTTTTAATATGCAAAATGTTTCAGGAGTAATCATGTGATTTTAAAAACAGTATTTACTTCCTATTACATCCCATTGCTCTTGGTTTGCAGTAAAGACAGGTCCTTTTTTCTTCTCTTTGGCTCCCTCGCACCGGGAAGTTGCAGGGAGTTGGGTGGAATGCTGTTACCCTGACAACTTTCAATTTCATAGAGTTTATTCTATTTGAATGCACAGGAATAAAATGATAGATTTGGGTGGTGAGATCTCCCTGTCATTTGAGGCAGGGGAAAAGAAAAAAAAGTCTCATTTGGGGGCAGGTTTGGATACATGCTCACTGTTTTAGTTTGAATACGGAGGCAAAACAGCACTTTGCTGGCCTTTTTTCTTCCATGGGAAAAAAGGAAATAATCAGTTCAGTTGCAACCTGGCATTTACTCCTGGGGGAGTTTAACCCTTTGAATAAAGTGCTGCCTCTAGAGCTTAGCCGTGGCAAAGAAATGTCTCTGGGAGGTTAATGCTGGGGTTATCCAGTTGAACCCTTCAGAACTGTGCTAAACTCGGGGCGAGCATCCCCCATGGGGCCTGTGGCCAGGCTGGCTCTGCCTCCCTGGCCATTCCTGAGGCAGGGAAAGGCACTGACACAGCTCAATCGATCCTCCTTGGGCAGCTGCCCTGTGGGGCCATCTCCTTGTGCAGGATGCAGGGCAGGAGGTGGCTGCAGCTCTCTACCCACCTCCCCTCTGCTCTCTGGGGACCCAGCAAGGTGTGCGGTGGGTGAGCTGGGACCAGGACTCTGCCTGGCACGTTGTCAGGGGCTCTGCAGCCCCCATGGTGGCAGCAGGGGTGTCACAGAGAGCAGGAGCCGGCCCTGAACTCTTGAGATCTGATCTGAGCAGCAAAAAAAATTCAATTATCTGTCTGGCTGAGATCCCATTTGTTTACACCTTCAAACTATAAGGAGTAAGGGAGGTGGGAAGCACATTGTTCCAGCCGTTGGGGTTCAGCTGGCGAAGGGCAGGTGTGTTTCCTGCGTGGCTCACGGCGTTTAACGCCGCTCAGGCGATGGCCAGAGGGCTGTTTGCCTGTGCCACGCTCCTCGCCAGACACTGCAGGCACACTGAAAAAAACCCCTCCAAATCTATTAATCTTTCCTCCTTCACACCTCGGATAAAGGCGAGCGGTGCTCCCGCCTGCCGCAGCAGGGCTTACTCCCAGGCTGTATTGTTTGGGAAACGCTGCTGCTGCTGCCGGTTCCCTGAGACCTGCCCATCCTTTCGAGAAGTGTCAGCCCCGGAACACGGTGTGTGGCTGCTGCATCACGCTCTGCTTCACTGCAGGGAAGATAAATGCCTGGTAACACGGGTTGCCTGCGTATTACGAGCCGCAGCTCCGTGTAGGACAGCGTTTCCCTTGGCTTTCTACCTTTGTCTTGTATCTCAAGTACAACGGGTGCCAGGAACGTCGTGCAGACATCTAAGAACAAATATTTTCTGTAACACACTGTGGCATCATTTTCATCCTTTGCCTTTATGAAGATGTTGTAGCTCTTCTATCTTTGGTGAGTGAATCTCCTCAAATCCAGCACTTTAATTAATCTATTTGTACTTTTCCTGTGTTGCCGGCCTGCTTCTCTGGCTCATCTACACACACACAGATGAACTGTAGATTTGTAGTGCTTTCTTAACTTAAAATTCTTTGATGTTGCCTGGAATCAAAGTCAGTGGCTTCAACAGGGACATCTTTATTTAAAGGGTAATGTTTGAAGGTTTACCAATTTATATGTATTTCAAGCCTCCCCCCTTGCGTGCTTTTGCAAAGCATCAGATGGTAGGTGGTCTGCTTGGTTTCCGTGGAGACGCAAAAGGGCTTTTCAAAGTAATGAAAATCTCCAGCTCTCTGGGGCTTTGAAGCACAGGCCCCTTCTTTCACCAGCGTTTCACACCAAATTAGCCAGTGAGAAAGTTTGGGGCTGTGGGTGCAGATGGATCTCCCCCGATGGGTGCAGATTTCCCATGCCAAGGCTGGCCGTGGAGGGAGGCACAGGATGGGTAGCCCCAGGGACACCCTGGTGGTCATGCCACCTGGGACTGGCACATCCTCAGATGTCCCTGTGGCTCACTGCATCCAGCTGGCATGAGGCATCACCCCTCACAAGGCAGCAGGAGGATCCCCAGTGCAGCCAGAAACAAAACTCCTCTATCTCTGCAGGCTCTGAGGCTTCTGGGGAGAGCTCACTGTCAGAGCTGGGTGCTATGGGGTGATGGAGCTGCTCAGTCTTTGGAGAAAATCTGGGGGCAGCTCAGCCCTTGGGCCCCCCCTAAGTGCCTTTGCTTGCAGGGGAGCTCCACTACCTATCAGATCTTAAAGTTGTGTGAACTTGAACCCAGAACCACCAGGTTATTTTTTAAAATAAGAGTAGCATCATCACAGTGAAAAGCAATGGCCATTTCTAAGAAGACTTTTGTTTTCAAACTTCAGGTGATTAGGATTTGGCCTATAACCTAAAATCTAGGGCTTAGATCCTGTCTAACTCCAATATGAGGTAATATGACTATTATTATATGAGCCTAGTTACAGAAACAGCTTATTTAATGTATATATGTTTATTCTCCAATTTTATTCTCCAATCCTGCTTCACTCCCAGCTTCCATACTGTCCACAGCAGCTCAACCCACCACCTTGCCCTGCACTCATGGACAGCAGCAGCCTCTGAGGCTGGGTGCTGTGTTTTGGGGTGCAGAGGTGTCCCCCAGGCCCCCTCCTCAGCTCTCTGTGCTGGAGGAGCAGTCTCAGCCCTGCCATGCGGTGCTGGGGGTACCAGGGGACCCTGCAGGATGTGAGGCTGAGCAGTGGCAGATGGGGGTCACTGTGTGCCATCCAGTAAATCACGGCTGTGTCTCCCCCAGCAGCTCCACGTTCAAGGACTTGGAGGGGAACAGTCTGAAGGACAGTGGCCACGAGGAGAGCGACCAGACGGACAGCGAGCACGACGTGCAGCGGGGCCTCTACTGTGACACAGCCGTCAACGACGTGCTGAATACCAGCGTCCCCTCCATGGGGTCCCAGGGCCCTGAGCAAGGTGAGCCACCACCACCATGCACCCTGGGGGGTTGCCCACCACCCTCTTGGCCTCACATGCCCCATCTGGTGGCTCTGGTGCTGCCTCAATGAGTGCACAATGGGAATGCTCAGCGCCTGCTGGGGATAACACTGTATGTCGTCAGAGGGCTGGGTAGATAGAAGTGAATCTTCAAGGCTGCCAGGTAAGCGAGCAGTTGAGGATTGCCCTCTATTTCACAGGTGGAAAACTTGAGGCCCTGAGCAGCCACCTGACAGCAAGCGAGCAGTGGAGTTGGGATTAGGGCTGGAATTACTGGCTGTGCCTAGGGCTGATCCCTGCTGGTGTTTCTCTCCAGAGCGCAGACTGGGTGCTGTTCCCTGCACCCTCTGCGCATGTTGCTGGAGCTCGTGTGCAGGTGCTGGCTGGGAGACTTTTCCAAAAGGTCAGCAGAGCACGTAGGCAGTTAGTCAGGCATCCCACCAGGGATTAGCTCAGGCCAGTGGGTGAGGGATTTGTGTCTTTTCCCCCGAACAGGCTGTGGGGTTTCAGCTCCTACACATCCCCACACGCAGAGATGAAGTCTTGCTCCAAAACCAGATCGGTATTAGCTAGAGGAAAGAAGTTGGAGTTCAGCTGAGCCCGAGCTGTCATTTGTACTTGGGCATGGATGTCACTTTTAATGTCTGAGGGATGCAAACATCCTATGCAAACATCCTGTCTTTTTCAATTAAGAAGCCTGAATGCGGTTTGGTGCTCTGGCGCAGGGGAGCCTCGGGGCACTTGGCTATATCTTGAGATAAGCTGTAGCTGAGGCTCAACTGGAAGCCCCACTGCTAAAAGACTTAAGGATATGAAAACAAAATGCTGTGATTATGAACTGGTCTTCAGCTGTTTAATTCAATTCATGGTAAACATCATTAAAAGCCTTTGTTTCGCTGT